AAACAGGAAAAAAGTAAAGAAGCGAAAACTCGGACTAATTAAAAATGCTTTGGCTAAGGTTCTTTCTCTGGCATCCGATTGTGTAAACAATTTGGCAAAGGAAAACAACCCAAGTGGAAAAATGAGGAATTTTCTCGGATAATTGCATAACCAGAAGAGGGAAATGCATTTGTTGTTTGCCCAACTTTTGATGATGAAGTTCAACACGAGTCGGAGTCGGAGGCTCCGCTCAAGGCCGCTGACAAAAGTCAACACAAAATGTTCAGAGTCAACACAGAAAGTTGCCAAAATATATACACATATATATCCGAGAAGAAACAGAAAAAACAATATTCGCATATTTGCACATTACAAATATAAGGAGAAGAGCGACGTTTGCCTTTGCCTTTGCCCTCGAAAAAGACAATTAAAACGGCTTCAAATTGAAAGGCATTTTCCAGGACGAAGCTCTTGCCTTTTTCAAGACATGCTGCGCTCGCATTTTAGCCAGAATTTGATTTGGCCCAGACGTGGCCCTTTTGTTCGTCGGATGATGTCTAGCCTGGATGCTAATGAAATTTGCCGCCGTTTATGGCGCTGAAAATTGTCCTGCCACAAAAGATAATGGTTAGCAGAGGGTGGGGGAGATTTTTTTAAATAAAGCCAGCAGCGCAGCCAGCGATAACTAAAACAAAACATTCGATTCAATTTTCCACAGCGCAGCAGCTGTAAAAACGAAGCTTAAAATAGGAAAAGCTATAGTGAATTTAATGTGGATAGGGGGAAATGATTTTCATTGTTTAATTTTAAAGCTCAAAGATGTTAGTACCTAAAAAAATGTTTTTAAATAAATATAATTTAAAAAAAGTATTAATATAAAATAAAATAAGCAAAAGAATGCATATAATTTATGCTTATAGCTAGGCAAAGGTCTCACTTGCTAGTAAAATATTGTATGCTGGGCTTAATTGGTTTAATAAAAAATAAATATAATTATAAAGGTAATGCTTAAAGTTTTTTAAATAACTATAAATTTTTAGTACAATTCCTGAGTGCAAAATTCCCTGCAAAAATCATTTAAAACCTTGGCATCCGTTAACATCATCACGCGCTTTCGTCGCTGAACCTGGCTTTATTCCAAGGCGTCAACTGCGGTGAGATGGAACTGCGGTTGAAATTAAAAAGGAGTTTAACCAAATTGCTATTGAAGCCCTGCGAAGCGAGTGGCAAAGAGGGATGGCTTTTGCTTTTGCTTCTGCGGTTTATTTCGGGCAAAGTGCCAGTTCACGGCAGACCAAACAGTTGCTACTCATTCAGTTGGCAAAAGAGGAGGCTCCCAGCTGCAGTTGGAGGGTTGGAATTGGGTGGATGCAGCAGGGACAGGATACAGAGGCCGAGACCCTCCTGCAAGGCTGCTATCTGAGGGGTTTGGGCGACAGTTTAATTGGGTTAGCAACGTCAACGGCCTGTCCACTGCTGGATCATTGGCGTTGACAAGGGCCGCCGCAGTGCTGGCTGCTACTCCCACTCCCCACCATGAGCCTTACATTTTAAGGGAAACCCCCCAAACACCCACCCACAGCGTAACGAAGCCCCCATTGATTTTCCCCAACACCCTGCACACTTTGGATTATTTTGTAATTAAACGCAAATGCAGAGAACCAAACACTCGCGCTTTTACCACAATCTTTTTCGACACTTTAAAATTGAAATACCCTTCAGAGGGTTTTATATTATTTTAAGAAATAAAAGAAAACATTCTAAAAAGAGAAAAGGGAGGCAATACAAGGAGAATACATTTGCAAATCTTTAATTGATTTCGATACTATTTTCAAAGGGTTTTTCCTTAGAAAATTCATAAAAATATATTATCAGATAATAATATTTAAAAAAATCTTAAATCTTAAACAAGTGTAAGTGTATTAAAAACTTCTACTTATAGGAATACAACATTTTCAAGATTTTTTTTAAACCAAAAAAATCATCAAATGTGGCTTTAAAGCTTGCCTGTCAGCTTTAACTCATTGGCACGACATTTTGAAATTGTTTTGCTTTTTTTTTTAAGCTTTGGGCCATCCACATCATCGATTGTTGCTCTTGGGGCCACTCTTCCTGCTTCCCTTGGTGGTTGATGAATTCACTGGTTGATTTCACCTGTTCCGCTTATCGGTGGGTGCTCTGTAAAATGTTAATGACCTTGTGGGCGTTGGTGGCATTTCAGACCAAAAATAGGTAATACTGTTTTTATAGTATTTGAAATTCAAGTGGAATTAATTACTAAAGGAAAATAAGGAACACATTGCGTGGAACTTGTAAAAATATGTGGGGGAAATCTATTCGAATTGCAAATATGTTTTCTTAAAAGGTGAGCTAATACTTTAAGAGTTGGGAATAACACAACAAAATATGTTTAATTTGTAAAGAAATATTTTAAAATTTCATTTAAAAATAAATAAATAATTTAAAGTCTATTTTTACCTAATTTAAATTCAAAATAAGCTTAAAATTTGATTTAGAAATAATATATAATTGTCAAAACCTTTTATTTTTAATAGTTTAAAGGCTATGTTTACCTTATTTGAATTCAAAATCTGTTTACAAATTCATTTCATACCTGTACATGTGGTCGTAATATTCAAATACTTTTCCTTTCAGCACAAATTTATAAGACTTAGCAGTACTGTTATACTAAAAACTATTAGTCATTATAGGATCGAAACTGTCTAGCTTTTCTCTGCTAAATTTCCCCTATTTTTTGTTTATAGAGCCACATATACCCTTAATTTCGTTGCACTCTGTTATTTAATTTAAAAACCCACACGCCAACAACATTTTTAAGCTCTTGTTTGTTGGCCAAATTTTCCAAAACATTTCATTTCGCGGATGGAAAGTTTTTAACCCCCGTCAAGCTGCTTATGTTGTTTGCATTTTGTTAAACAAAAAAATTAAATAACACCCCTCGAGCGGCGGTAAGTGCTATTATTTGTTATTTGGTTGGTAAGTGCAACAAATGCAACAAACGCCCCGCAGAACCACAATGGCGACACCAACAAATTGCAATATGTGAGGGGACAGATGGTGAGAGGAGGGGGCGCACACAGGACACGGGACACAGGGACCTGCATCCAGGCGTGGCATCATAATTAATTCAAATTTAAATTTCCTTTTGGCGCATTGCACGCGCCATTTTACACCGCCAGAAATGGGGGGGCGAGGAGAGGCTGGGGATGCGGCTAGTGTTGGCGCGTGGGCGGCACCTGCCACGCCCATATGTGTGCCCCGATGTGGGTTCCAGCATAATAAACTGTTTAAATATTTAGTCGAAACGAGTTTTTAATACTCGTTGGCGCTTTTAGCAGCTGCCACCGGCGGTCAGGGGTCAAAGGTTGCCGGTTCAAAAAAAATAAAAAAAAAGAAAGCAAGAATAGGAAGCGAGAATGAGACCTCGAAAAAGGAGCACAGCTTCCGCCATGTGCCAGCTTTTGAGAGACCCGAGTCCCGTATAATTACAGATTGCCGCAAAAACAAACAAAAAATCTCGAGAAAACAGAGAAGAAGGAGTGCCTGGGATGATGGGTTCAGAACACTTATTAATTTATAATTACTAAAAAACAAGGTTTGCCCTTTTTTTTTGGTTTATATCCTTTTTATTCTTAGAGAGACAAAAGGCGGAGTAGTTCGGAAGGAATGGTTTTTAATTATTTATTTAAGGGGAAAATATTTTAAAAATGAAAACTATAGTTCTATGTGTATTCTATAGGTTTTTCTAATGGGTGTGATATAGAATATAACAAAACCTTAGTTACTTGTTCGCTTGTACATTGCAGGCAAAGCGTGAATGAGAGAAAGAGACGAATAGGAACAACCTAAATTTAGTGGTTGTTTAGTTTTCGTTTTTAACTCTTAACTCTTCAAAGTTTTATAAACTTAAACAGTGCTGAAACCTCTCAACCCTGAATGATATTCAAAGAGTATTCAAAAAGTACCCTCTCTCTCTTTATCACTGTTAATGGCATTCATATAGCCATCAAATTAGCATTTCTCCTAATATCCTGAGCCCTCAAAAACCATTAAATAATATTCAACAGAAACTAATTTGCTGTTCATGAACCTAGAGAAGGCTCCTCCTTTTCAATTTCTCTGCCATTTTGGTGTGCACTTTCCGATTGCCAGAGCAGAAAATACCGAAAACCTAAAAACCAACCAACCAACCAACCAACCAGCACCAACAACAAGAAAATTGTGAAACGCAAGAAAATTCACACTGGCTGGAAAATACAACACTTATTTTCCTTGCGCAATTAATGCAGAGTGTGTGTGTGTGGTGGGGGTATGGAGCGGGGGGCTTTATTAGCAGGGGAACGGACTGCCTGTCATTTGGCTGAGTGCCGTGGCATGCAGAGCCCGATGCGATCTCCTCGAGCGTTGGAGGTGCGAAATGTGGCACGCATCGCATATCGTGGCCCCGAAAACCTGTCTAATGCATTTTTCGTTTGCTTATTTATGACCTGCGTAGACGACGAACAGCTGCCTGGGGCCAGCGTTTCGCCAATAAATTTGCAAATTGCATTTGCATCTTACAGGAAAAAAAACGAAACATTGAGCCCTCGAGCTGAAGAGCTCGCTAATTTCTCTATCAAGTGGAAGTAAAAATCTAAAATCGATATACCCAGATCATAAAAGCCTTAAGATGGACTAAAAAATTCAGAGATCTCCATTAAATAATGTAAATAAAATAAGAAATTTATTGATAAAATACATATTTATAGTTTCTCACGTTTTACATTGTTTCTTATAATTTATATAACAATTTTAAATGAAGAATCAAACTCAAAAAGATAAATCAAGATTTCATAAAATAAAGAACGTAGAATTTCATATTAGAAACTTAACTTATGCTTGCTTGGATCATCTCGAATGTTTTAACCACAGCAGCGCTCCAAGGATTGCCCCCAAACAACCGCCAATCATTCAAGTCCGTCAGTCAGCAGCGTTCCATCAGGATGCCTTCTCTTCGCCGGGTTCGTCGCCGGGTGATTTTAGCTAAAAATGGTCTTGGTTTTGTGCAAAATGCATTTCGCTCTGGCAAATGACGCGTGCCTCTTGTCTGACAGCCATTGTAGTTGCCGGTTTTAGTGGAGCTTCGCCGGCAAAGACCCTCGACTCCTACGCCAGTGGCATTCAAACTGACAGCCGGCAAAACCCTAATTGAAATGGAGCTGAAGAATGAGTTTGCCAGCACGCGTAATTAGAAAATGAGCAGGGAAATATTTGCGGCAGGAAAAATGCATTTTTTTGGAGCGAGGCTAAATGGATGTCGTGTTCGTGGTCTTAATATTGCCTTACCTAATAGATTAATGTGTCAGTTAGTTAGTTTATCCTGACCTTATTCTTGATTAACTGTATATCGGACTCATTGTCCCTCACCACCCCCTCGAATATCTCCCATGAGAGGCCACCACCCTTTTTCGGTTTCGGGAAGCACTTGATCAACTTGCGACCGCCCTTCAGCAGGGTAAAGGCACTGGGATACTCGATAATGACAATTGTGCCCATGAACAAGGACATGTCTACGATGCGCTGCAGGTAGCGATGGCAATACCATTTCTAGGGTTGGAAAATTTAGGATTTTAATGCTTATAGAGCTTATATCTATAGGAGATGTTTAAACTTACAGGACTCGAGGGCTTCTGGCAATAGACATCGTTCATAAAGCTGGCAGTCACATACTGCATAGTAACAAATTCAGAAAGCTTAAGATATAGGGGGGAAATAATACATTTACTTTAGATTTAGGATAATATTTCCAAGATACTTAGGTAAATAATCGATATACACATCGATTTTAATCGATCTTTAGGTACATTGATTGATTAAAAAACCGATACAATCGATGTAAGCAACGATTTTTATAGAGCTCTAACATAGAATAGGTTTTTACAGCACAACTAGTTCAAAATTTCCAAGAAAATCCTCACACTCACCGTTTCCATGTGACTCATAATCAACACCGACTGGTTGGCTTGCGAGGCCAAGGCCATCTGGAAGGACACCATAAGTATATCCTTGATATTGTGATTGGTATAGTTCCAGAAAATATTGCCCTTGTCGCCGACAGCACGTATACAAGTGCGCACTTTGGTCAAATCGAAAGTATCGAGGTTCTTGAGGATAAACAAAGAAAGTAAGAAATAGAAATAAATAAATCCTTAGATTATACTCACCACCGGCTGCTCTGCGGAAACCTTTCGGTAGGGAACCAAAAACCAAACAGTGTACTCGTTGACCGTAATGTACTCAAAGATATGGCGAACCTGGTTGAAGACGTTCAGCACAAAACTGCGCTCGGTTAGGCGCACCGCCTCGTTCACCTCCAGGCACTTGGTGGCCATACGGCAGATCACATCCTGTGGCTCCATGGCCTCGCGATCAAAGAGCTTGACGAAGCTCTCAAAGGGGCCGTCCGGATCCCTAAAAAAAAGAGAGAGAAGTGTAATTAAATCAGAGCTCAAGTACTTATATTACTATTGAAAAACCCACTTAATGCGACCGTATGGATCACTGTCGCACTGGATAACCTGCAGCCAGTTGCCGGCGCACCTTTCGTGGAGAACCCTTAGGTACTCAAAGGTATGCTGCGAGCGTTGAAAGTAATCCTTGTGGAAGTGCTTGATGTACATTTCATCCATTTCGCCGTTGATCTCAACGAAAACGGTGTCCTGGGGGGATAAGATGTCAAAGCGACGAGTAACAGTCACCTGGATGTCTTGGGAACGGAGGGGGAAGAAGAAACCGCCACCACGGGTGCGCTTTGCTTCAGCCGCTCTCTTGGCCTTGCGCTCCTCCCGCAACTTTTGACGCTCCGCGGCCTGCTTTGAGGTGCAGGGTTCCGTGTCCAAATCGCTTTCTGGGTCATCCACTACCGGCTGATCCTGTTGTGGCTTCCTCCTAGCTTCCCCATCCGAGTTCAGTGCCAGCCTATCGAAGGTCAGGGAAACCGAACCCTGCTTTAAGTCAAGGCAACTCCTAAGTTTGGCCAAACTAGCGTCATCCGGATAGGTGAGGGTGCAAAGGAGCAGAATGGCCTGGGCCACTGGAGTCACAGCTGGCACATCCCTTTCCAGGCCCTTGACCACATTGTAGACAATCACATGGACATCATCGGACGTGGAGAAATTGACCTTGACATGGTCGCAGTTCAAGCAATTCTTGATTGTTAGCTTTGGGATTTAAGATGGTTTTTAAATAAGTTAATTTACAAAATTTAGAGCAACTTACAGATTTTAAGCTGATGGTGTGACCCTTAAAGATCGTCCTTCTCATTGTTTTAGTTTGAATTTCAAACTGATCTTTTTACGAAAAAAAGTACAAAATAAAATTGGTACAAATATTGTAATTAAAGTTGGAATAATTCCAAAGGGAAGTTAAACTTAAGACCTATTAAATTTGATTTTATTTTATGTTTTAGTTTAAAATTCATGGCCATACAGGTGATCTCTACCCACTAATTTGATGGGACTTTAGTGGCTTGGGGAATTGCTAAAGTGACTTTGTTTTTAGTCCTTTTTTCTCTACTTTTTCTCCGCCTAAAGGAAATTTATGAATCAGCAGAGGAATCAACATTATTATGGGCCAGGGGAAGTGAGCCATTAAATTGGCTTGGCCACACAGACTAGGTGCATAAAATTAGGATTAACGGCTTTCTAAGTGCCATCAAATCCTGTCCTATCCCCCGAATTCCCCATGGCAGCCACAGAGCAACAATTAGTCCTCAAACTCACCATAAAGTGCAAGCTAACTAACTAAAAAAAAGCTTAAACAAACCCAAAAAATATTGTGATTTTCTTTTAATTTTTATGGCAGCGATTTTACGACTCGAAAAAAAAGGCAAAGCAAGGGAAAACATTTCCTTATCATCATTTATATTTTGCAGGACTTGTTTTTTCTTTCTGCCAATTTTATGCTTCCTTGGAGTTTTAATGATGATTGCCTTTTGATATTGTTTTTTTTTTTCTTCTGCTCCTAGGGATTTATGACCTTTGAGGAGGACCACACGTCACGCATTTAAGTGCTAATTTTGTATTATTTTGTAATGATGATTATGATTTTTTTTGGGTATTTTATAATGCATTTATAATGCATTTAAATTCAAGTCCCACTATTCGGATATGTGTGGTCGCTGAAGGCTACAGCTGGGTGGAGGAGAAGAATTCTCTGGCAGCTCGTAAAGCCAGCGAAATTATGGCAATTTAACGGACGACTGCGATCCAACCCGAATGGCCAGGCAATTAGAAGATGCCTTGGGCCACGTAATTCCCGGCTTTAACCGAAGAAGTTCCTCCTTCGGTCGCAGTAGTCGTTGGGGCTTTATCGTTCGCATAAATTTTGCGCAGATAAGCGCGAAAAAAGCGCTACGTAGCCCCATGTCCACACATACAACATTCCGAGGAATGGGGCGAAGGGGATTCCCCGCATTGCAATGTCCTGAAATTATAGCAATTTGCTTGTCAAATTGTTGCCAACTTGGGCAATAAATCGTTGGCTTTATGGGGCCGCGGCGAACTGAGTCGATCGCGATAGAGTTGTTTTAGGAATAAATTCGCCAAAAAGCCCGGCGCTGGCGATCCTCGCGTGGCTCTATTTAGTGCTTCGTAAACTTGTAAAATGTGCAATTTTGTCGGCTGGCTTTTACTTAACTCGATCGCTATTTTGTTGCCCGATTTCGCTAATTTAATGGTGCTTTGCCATCAGGTCCCTGGCCAATTGAATAGTTGAGAGCAGACAGCAGCCTCTTGGGGGCTCCAGATTGATTAGGGGGCGATTGAAATATTGTTATAGCAACTTACGTGGCCTGTGGGTGGTAATTTGTAATGATTATGGGTGAAATGATGACGGGTAGTTGGCCTGGCGTGGGCGTAAAACTTAGTTTAAAGGAATTCACGGAATGTTGTGAAAAATGGAGTGAAGCGTCGATCGCTTTCTGATTGCAACTATCCTTTTATCGATAAGCGATAGGCGTAAGGGTATTACGCGATAGGTGGTCGCTTTGCAACACTAGAAAATATCGTAATCTTGAAATAGTTAAATTTTAAAATCTACCCAGGATTTTAGAAAACCCTTAAAGATTTAGCACTTAAATTAAAGCAAATAAAGTAAAGCAAATAAAGTAATGTTAATATAAACAAAATCCAGCTAACTAACATAAGCCAAAATTCTTATTAGTTTTAGTTTCCCTAGCCGCTTTACCCAAAAAGTTCCTCCAAAAATGTAGCCATTAGCATTCTGCATCCAAACCAACTAATGTGGATTCCCCAGAGCCCCCCTTCAGACCCAAACTAACGGCATTCTATTCCCAATCCAAATTCTGGCCATGCTTCGCATCTGCAATTACGAGTATTTTTATTGTCCAGCCGCTTGTGCCAGCACTTGCACCTGCTGCTCCACACAGCTACTATTTTTGAACTTTTACAGGGTATTTTAAATCGATTTAGTTACTGAAGATTTGCTTTAAATTACTTAATACAAATTTAGTTGGAAAAATATTGAGTTATAATTAATAAAACTAATTATAAAATGAATTATAATTAAGATACGTTTATAATGAATAAAAATTAAAGCGTTAAACGTATTAAACTTTAATAATAAATGCATTAATCCATTTATTTTATTAATATATGTATTATATATAATATATATATATACTCTTTAAAAAGTTGACCATCTCTAACAAATGTCATGCGATAGTTGCTTATCGATAGCTTGCGCAATCGATCATCTGCAATCTCTAGTTCTGTAAAAGTGCGTGGGCGATCGTCAAGAAATTGCAAATTGTACTTTTAAACGTTAAAAAAAAACAATTAAAACAAAGCTGTAAAGTAAAGAAAATTGTGCAAATAGTGTGGCAAGTGCAATATGTAATTAATTAAAGTGATAATCGTGCAAATAAACCATGAAAACCCGATGAAATGAAAATTGTAAAAGATGGACACGCAGTGACTGTACTTTCTACGCATTTCTTATTGGTAAGTGCGCTTTGTTTTTCTTTGATAAATGGATCTATTTATGTTTATTAAATAACTAATTGGTATTAAACAAAGTGCAGGGCATTATGTAGTCCAAGTCCCAACGATTTTTCGCTCCTGCCACTAGCTTCAAGCTGCCGAATCTCTCTCTCGGTAATTCGAAATGTTTACGGTACATTTAATTTCATTTGGATTATTACAATATGCTTTAGGAGGCAACAATTTCGACTCGAGCTTTATCTGCTGCTCCCTGCTCTGCTCCTCCTGGCTCCACTCCATGCTCCATTTGCCAGGCGTCGGCGGCCGAGAACAATGAGCCATGAAGCGGGAGAGGGAGGTGGAGGGAGAGGGAGACTGGAAATGGAGGTAAAAATCCCACCTTGAATTTTCGGCAGGTGTACGTACGAACGTACCGGGACATATTTCATTGTTGTTGCCAAAGTGTAATTGCGAATTCCAGACAAATGTGAAATTTGAATTTACAAGTTTAACTTTTCTTGTGAAATCATTTGTTGTTTGCCTTGCTTCTGGGAGGACTCCAGCTCCTCCTGCTGCTCCTGTTCCTGCTGCTTTGCTCCTGTTTTGTGTGTGTGTTTGTTGTGTGTGCGACTCAAGTGTGCAGTTGGCAATTCTCGACTTAGTTCATTTGTTCCATTTCAACGCTTGCCAGGCAGCCGGCAGCATAGGGAGTCTTCCGGAAGGGACCTCTCCTTGGATCCTACCGGGCCTTAGCATAAACAAATGTACTTGTGTCGCGTTGCTGCTGCTGCTCCTTTCTCTAGTCTCTCTATTCTCAATTCTTCACCCCGTTTGTTCCGTGCACCTCTTTTCCTTCGATTGTTGTGCCATATTTCCGGCTTGTGGTACCCTAGGACTGCAAGGATTTAAAGGGTATATTGACGAGCTGAAATGTCATATATTTGGTTGAGGAAATCTTCATATTTAGCCTTAATTTAACAAGTTTTTTTCAGTTTTTTCTTTACTTTTATTATATACATTATAATCACGCTGATTTTCTGATTTCCACAGGTAAGCAATTTACAAGTTTATTTATCTTTTTCATATATCAAACAACATATGTTTCATCCATTACATTATATAAATATATACATAAATATTTTACAAATCTAACTTGAAAACAAAACCCACTCATATTATAAATATTCTCCAACCTTAAGGTTCACTTTTAGATTCCTGTTCTTAAAAAACATTGCTCATTTAAGTATTTTTATATTATTCATGCATTAAAAAAATAATAAAACCCTTTGTGATAGGTACTCCTAAGTCGAATAACTTGATCCATAAGTCGCCGCGTTTTTGCAAATGGTCTAAGCTTGGCTCCTTCTGTTTTGTGCCTTGAAGAAGAACAGATGGCATGTGTTGCGACTAAAGCTGGCTTAGGCTAGGGATCCTGCTCCGCCGGATCTTGAGTCCCGGAATGTTGCACCTCTCAACCTGCCACAAAACTGCGTCGCGACGCGACTGTTGTCCTTCCAGAGGCTAGGATATGCGAAATTCGTTGGGATTCGACGATGGTGCGCTGTTCTTTGCCGTTTTGCCATTCTTGTTTGGCTTTTGTGCATTTGCCCGGCTTTTTGTGTGCTCTATTTTCCTTTCTTTCTTTTTTTTTGTTTTTGTGCGGATGACGAAGGATGGAGGCCAGGCTTTTGTGCCCGAGCGTTGTGCCGAAAAAGTTGCATTTCACGTCTTGTTGGACTCGGACTTGTTCTACTTGCTGCAATTCTCCTCATATTTTGTTTCCCACCAAAGTGGTGCGTTCCGGTTTGCCGCATAAAACACACTGCCACGCCCACAACCCTTCCGAATGCGCCTCCGTCCATACACACGCACACACACACACTCACACAAATACAATTAGAGACTTGGTTTGTTGGTTCAACTTGTTTGCTTACATTCAACTTTATTTCACTTCTGCTGCGATGGTTTCTTTCAGCCAGCCACTACACAGCCACTATCCTTCAACCCTTTCCCGTGTGTGTGTGTGTGTGTGTGTGGAGCAAAGTTTTTGGTCAACTTGGGCGCTTGCTCCTCCTCGTCCTCGTCGGCATTGTGTTGCCCATGGATGTCGGAAGCGCCTTAACTTAATTCTGACGCTAGATTTCTATGCATCCTCGAACGAACGAGAGAGCGTTGGCATTCTCTGTTTGCTTAAATGTTGTATAATTCACTGATTTCTCTGTGGTTTTGTTGCCATTGTTGGATTTTTGTTGATGCTGCTCCTGTTTCTTCTTCCTATGTAGGAGTTTTGTGTATTTGTGATTACATTACGTATACGTACGTATGCGCAATGTGCGAGAGCAATTGTTCATTTTTTGGTTGAGGAACTGCTTGTTGAGACCTCAAGAAATATAATAATTAGAGAGATTACAAATAAAAAGGAGAATAGAAGTAAGGTAAGAATGGTTAACTTTATTAATATCATAAAAGCCAAGTGAAAAGACGGCAAAGAATGAGAAAAGTGGACTTCTGGACGGTTGAAATTTGTTTATATTAGTTAGTAAACATTTTTTGTAGTTTAAAAATAATTTAAAATAAAAGTTTTTCCAAAAAATAGTTCATTAAACGTCACTTCATAATTCCCAAAACAAAAAATGTAATATTTCTTACATTAGCTTTCTGTTCCTTGACCCAAATAACTTTCTGAGCAACCCAAAGACTCACTCCTTGAACCCATTTTTGCCCCAGTAAATTGCAATAAAATAACCAAAAATACGCTGCCCAAACCAATCGCAATCCCAATTCTGACTTCAGCCCAGTCCATCCTCAGTCTCGTTTTCCTCTCAGTGGAAAACGTAAGGAAACAACTGAACATGGACTGAACATTGTAAATTGTTGTCCGAAAATTTATTGGCAGCACTTATCAGATTCACTCATAAATCTGCAAAAAGCCCGTCTCCAAAGCCGAGCGGCAGCCTCTCTCTTTTCTGCTTTTTCGATGCGTGGGCGGAGAGCATCTGTGTGGCTGTGTGAGAGCACTGAGAGAAAAGGTGAAACTTATATCAATTTATTTAGAATTTTAATTCATAACTTATCACCAGAATAGTCAATTCATCCGTGTCCTTTCCGTTTGTTTGTCCGTCAATTGTCTATTCTGTAGAATAACTTTTAACAATCTATAATAATTCCTAAAAAGAATAGTTACTTTTCTTCAGTGCATCTGTGCGAGGGCGAGTACAGCTGATGGGTGGCATGTGCGAGGGACATTTATTTGCATGCCTCGCCCGATTTTTGGCCCCTCTGTTCGACTCTCGGGGTGCTCCACTTCGGTCGCACAATCCACAAATTAACATGACATTTTTACAAGCCCAAACATGTGTACACATGGGCCCGAAAGTGAACCGAACCACTCGAAATTAATAGCCAGCAAAGCACAGCATCAGCAACGGGCGCTCTCATTGGATGTGACTGGACATTCGGGGCGGACATTTATGGACACATGGCCGAAAAAGTCAAACAGAGACTCAGGCAGAGAGAGAGTGAGCGGATCGAACAGGTTGCCATTTTATGCATCCATAAATTTAATTACTCAAAAGCTTCCCAAAAATGTGGAAAACAAAAAGCCATTAGCTCAGGTGGAAAATGTACTGCAGTCAGTCGTCGACCTTATGGCCTCCCTTTGCCATTTTCATTTGGCTATAAACTCGCCTCATAGCGACTTTCTCTTTGGAAAATATTTGCCAAATTTTAAATGTGAATCAATATAAGAAACTTAAAATTTTTGTAGCTTAAACTCTTTTATCACCCATTGAAATGATATATATTTCCCTTTGAACCTTATTATCTTAGCTTTATTATGATTATTCGAATCCAGAACCCAACTATCTCTTGTTTCCTCTCGAAACTTTGATTATCTGGGCCATACGATGTGCATTCTCAGTCAAGTTGAAGGTTTTTCATTGACAGAAGAGGACGAAACCTCAAACACGACAGGAGACAGGCGTATTGAGAGGAGGAAAAATCATGACAAAACATTTGGCCAACGAGTTTTTCATTTTCTTTGTGTCTTTTTTTTTTTGGTTCCACTTGAATGAGAATGAGAATGACGAGAGAACGTTGACGATGATGAAGTTATCAGGCAAAAACGAGCCAAAAGTTGGCACAGTTTCAGAAAAGTTGGCCCACATAGAGCACACACACACAGCACCGGGGGAACTGACTGGCCCCAGACTAACAACAATCAGTAAAAGCAGACTGCAAATTCTAAAACAAGGAGCTCAAACTTTGCTCACTGAGCTGCAGACATTTTCGTCGCAATTTAACTCCTCATCCTCCTTCTTGGATCCTGCTTCTCTCGGTGTGTCAATAGCGCCAGGAATGGACACATGGAACACAGGACCACATGAACCAGTGCCGGCGTGCCAGTGCAAAAACACCAGAAGTACCACCAGAAATAACAACATCAGAATGAAGAACAGTTGACAAATGCAACAAACAACGGACAAGTTAAAATTCATGTTCATTTTAGCCACAAGTTTGTGCTTTTCTCGGGTTAAAACACAACATTGCTCGACGTCAAACCGACTAACACGGAATGTACATAAATGGTAATTGACAGGCCAAAAGAGCTTAAGTATTTTAAAAAGGTTTCAAGTGTTGTGATTCCTTCCTCCTCCTGCTTTGGTAAGGCTAAATGTTTGGACTTTAGTTAAAAGCGGGGGGAATTCTAAAAGTGTTCCTCTAAACGATCTCCCTGCGGACATCAAGTCATGTCTTAATAAAAGTGAATGAAAATCTACCTTAAACCCACTTAAAATAATACAAATTAATCGAGGAAAATAGTCTTATTTATGGGCAAACACTGTTGATAAATAATAAAATAAAAGCAAGCAATTGCCGAGCATTTCAATTATTCAAATTGCGGCCTGGAAAACAAAAGAACACACGTCAGCCTTCTCAGGCAAACTCACCAATTCCATTCAAAACTAAACATTTGCGTTATGTAAAAGTGGCCAGAATATTTTACCAGCTGGATATCTGCAGATGGAAAGTGTTTCTGGCACCTCACCTGGCTGACTAGCTGACTGACTGACTTCCGTTTCGTTCCGTTTTCTAGACAATAATATGACGCATGTATGTTGCAGTTGCTGCTGCGCCCCGAAAAACAATAATAAAATGGCTATAATAAATTTCTGTTCTGCAAAATATTTCCAGGAATTTCGGGGATAGATTGTAGTATGCCAGTCCAGTCCAGTCTTTCAAGCGGAAATTGCACATTTTGCAGAAAAACGCTTTCCCAAAGGGGAGCAGGGAATGGGTGGGATGAGATGTGTGGCGTATAAAAGGAATTAGGAATGCAATTTGAGGTTATTTTAGCAATGTGCAACTCACCAACAACATAGTATTGCACTGCAAGAAAGAGGGGGAAAATGATTCTTTGAATAGGTTAACCACTTTCAAATAGGCTTTTTTAGATGATATTTTGAATTCCTTACATTTTAATTGTTCAAAATAATTTCCCTTAAATTAACACTCATTTTTTTCGAGTGCATAGCTGACCACATCTGTATGCGCATTTGTTTAGATGAGAGAGAGACTTTGTATGTGTGTGTGTGTCAGTTAGACAAACAGACAGTTGGACTGACACTTGGACAGATGTTGGGATACGTACAGAGTCTGGAAGTTGGGCCCCAGCTACAGCCTGACAGCTGGACCCCAGGAACCCCTTCTCCATTGCTCCTCCAGCCTCCGGAAAACCCTTGCCCAGATATTAATAGACGAAATTTGAGTATTGCTTCCGTCATGAATAAAATTTCTGCATCCCGAGGGGCCCAGGGAGCTGTTGCATTGCACATCGAGGACGATGTAGTGTAAGGCTCCCTCGAAAAACTTTTGACAATCCCTCCCCGGGCTCCGTTGCGGGAAAACTTCTCATCCAGAGTTTTTGGGCCACTCGCATTGTCCCTTTCCCGGGCAGAGTGAGAGTCGTTTTCTCCATGCCCGAAAAACTTTTCAAATTGTCCATTCAACGTCCATTCAGCTGTCCGTTTCTGTGGCTTCTCTGGTACTCCTCGTTCTCGTTCTCGTTCTCGTTTTTTTTTACTTTACTTTTCTTTTAATTTTAATGATGCCCTCGGAAAAATGTAAAACGCTTGCGAGAAACAATTTCTGGTATGTGCATTCTATGGTCGCATTGAGAATTCTTTGGTCTTTATGGGAGGAGATGATTGCCCTGCTAGGGATTGGTTTGCCTGGGGATTTTAGGGGGTTTTTGTCAGGAGAAATAAGGAAATAAGAGGTAATATGCTTTTCAAAAATAATAATAATCAGAGCTTGTTTCCGTTCAGAAATATTTCCTGTGCGTTCCTTCGCTTTTCCTTTAATGTACAAGCAGTTTAGCTTCTCTCTCCCGGAAAACCAATCTATCACCACCTAAAATCTTTGTACTTGTCACTATTTTATTTCCCCCAACTGCAATCCAATCGATATAAAATATATTTAATTTAATCAATCAGAAAAGCAACTTTAGACTGTGCCACAAATCCTTACACCTAATCACCCAAGCAAATAAAGTCAAAAAGGCTAAAAAATTGAAAGAAACGCAGCGAAACGAACTGCAGAAAAGGAAACCGCAAAACGAAATGCGGTAACAGGCAAAACTTTGCTGAATCAACTACTAAAAGATTTATGGTATCAAAATAGTGCCACATAAAATATTCACACCTTGGCCCCGGCTGCCAGAATCTAACGACTTTGGTGGGACCGGGACGGGGACGGGGTTAACCCAACCGCTCAACCAACCAACCAACTGATGCCTTTGGCCCGATAGAGCCATTGTTTATACGTCGGACCAACTGGGCTGGATTGCATTTTGGCCATAAGTTGGCAACATTTTTTATGCGTTCATCATGCGGTCAGCATAAATTTTTCATCGCCGCTTTTCCTTCGTTCAATTTTCTTTTTTCGTGCCCCACAACATGCTGCCAATTTTGATGTCTGACGGCCATAAATCAAACCGTTTAAGGGGGGGGTAAGGTATTTAATTTTTTTTTTCGTAAATTTTTTTTTATTTTTTATTTTTAAAGTTTAACATCTTAAGAATATTGTGTCCAAGTTTTACATTGATCAGAGTGAAATTGACGAAGTTATGCGGAGTTGAACGAAGGTCGGTTGGTGTTCAATGCATGGGAATCACAAAGTTTAAAGCGCTCTCCTGAAAAATTCAATTTTTCAAATCGGTGTACACGATTACAGAAAAACTACTAGACCGATCGATTTGAAATTTGGCACACACATTCTTTAACTAATTCCTCAGGTATTCACGTCGGCCTTTTTTTAATTTTTAATTTTTATATATTTTTAAATTAAGAAATAACGTTTTTTTTTTAGTCAAAAATCGGGTTTTTGACTTTCAAATTTCCTAAAAAATCACAAAAAAACTAAAAAAAAAAAAACGCTTCGTGAATACCTCGGGACACTTATCCTTTAACGAATGAGGTATAATTTTTTTAGATCGGATGATCCTGTGGACTGTTAGGATGTACACCGCAAAACAACTTTTTTTGGAGGCGACTCTGGAGATTCCCTATAACTTCTCTACCTCTAAATATTTTTCAATACAAAATTTATCAAAAATTATTCAAATGTTGTGTTATTATATGGTATTTAATTCATTAAGCTAACTTTAGCCGTTTCGCCACAATAATTTTTTGAAAAGTGGCCTTTTTTGCACCGAATTAACCTTACCCCCCCCTTAAAGTCGCCATCGGCCAGAAAAAAAAAAGGAGACCATATCGGAATTAACTTGGCTAAAACAAGTAAGCCATTTTTATTCCACACCAAAGTGTTGATCGTGTCGTTTGGGTTATTGTGTGAGGGGTATTTGTTTGCGTAGGGGAAGAATATTTAACACAAAACTAACGCGGACATCTGTAAAACTCAACTTAAGATGGACCTGGAGCTCCATCATCGCCAATGGGGGACCTTGCTTGATGCTTTTCCTAGAAAGGGAATGGATTATAACACCTCATAATGAGAAACTCTTGAAAACTCACCACAATTGAATGAATTGGTGCTCTTGCTGAACTTCGCTGATGACTCGATCATGGATGGCGTGCTGTGGGTTTAATTGGTAAAGGTATTGCTGGTCAGGCTTACGATTAGGACACTCTGAATGCCGACGAGGTGTACTTACTTCAGGCCGTTGCGCACATCCCGGTAGTTGACGGGTTGCAGATCGTAGCCGGACTTCATCCGCTGTCCCTGATGTTGCTGCTGCTGTTGTTGATGATTATGCTGCTGCTGCTGCTGTTGGGCTTGATTATGGTTCTGCTGCTGGTACTGCATGGGCTGGGTGTACTGCCACATGTTGTAGCCGTTATTGCCGCTGCTGTTGGCATTAGAATTCCAGCCGCCGGCCTGCGAGGGCGACGAGGGACCACCACTGCCGCCTGTAAAGCGACCCTGATGCATCTGCGTGTTGGATCCCGCATCACCGTACTGCTGCATGGGCTGCATCTGACCCATCGGCTGCATCTGTCCCATCGCAGACATGGACTGCAGGTCGGGTATGACGGCATTGATCCCGGGTGCATCGATAGAGCCCATGGCATTGCCCATGGGCATCATGGTCACGCTGCTTAGCGGCGTCATCGCTCCGATTGGCAGCTGTGTGGACATTGTGGACATGGGCGTCATGCCGCTGTTGCCTCCGCCGGACATCATGCCTAGCGGCATGCCCTGCACCGGATAAGATGACATTGGGGGCATGCTCGAAGACATCGGCATCTGAAGGTTCATTTGCGGTGGGTTCAGCGGCTGCACGGGCATGGGCTGGCCCATACCCTGGCCGGGATTCATAGTCATCGGGTACTGAGGCACGTTCTTCATCTTGAGGGAAGAATGTATCAAGGGTTAGTGGTCTCTGGGAGTTACCTGAAATTGAAATTTGTACCTTTGAATCGGCATACATGCCGTAATCAGCTTCGTAGGGCACCGAGCAAAAATTCATCATTTACGGAAATGTCTCGAAAAACCGAAAAATAAATATTCACTAAAAGTTTCTAGACAAACAAATTTTTTTACTTAAAATTTTATTTTTCACTGAAATTTTTTTTTTATATTTTTAAAAGGAGAAGAGCTCTGTAGCTTACGAGAAACGAAATACGAATGAGAAATATAAAAAGGCAAGATCCCAAAGTTTGCAGTTGGATGACATTTCCGAGGCAGAGCCTACTTTGATTTTGAAATTTTTGTTTTTTAAAAATATTTGTTGATTCCTCCTGAAACTAAAGTTTTTTTTAGAACTTTATTATCATTTCTTCTTGAGAATAAGGATTATTTTAGGAGCTCAAACTAGTTGCTTTGCTACCCCTTGGGCATATCGTGATCCACTAGCTATGTGGCCAACACGCCCTCAGCCAAAGCCATCAAGGATGTGTCCAGGACAATTAATTTTCGCCCCGGCTTGTCAGCTTATTGTTTATCTACATAAATACGGGAGAGGACACACGACGAAGAGAAACGGCTGCCGGTGAGCTGGCGTGTCATTTATTCTGACTGTGCCTGCTCCTTCCTTGCCATGACTTTCGATATCCTTCTGGCTGGGACGTGGTGGTGCAGTTGCCACACCATTTATGCCATTAAGTCATTAGCTTTGTTTAACAAATAACAAACTGTCAATGAGTTGATTAACGATGTTTTTCGCATGAACTGCAATTAGCCGACGCCGTCGCCGTGGACGCTCGCTGCCCGCCGCCTCATCCGAGTAGTTCCCTCTGACAAATGGGTGTGATTTCGCTCCCAGCGGTGTTCCATTTGGATGGTGCACTGGATGGCCTGGCCGGATGGTTGGATGGTTGGCTGGCTTGCTGGATAGATGGGCGGTGGGTGACAAGCACTCGTTATTGATGCGCCCCCAAGTTGCCGTCACTTGGCGGCAATAATTGTGTATTGTACTCCAAGTCAACGGCAATAGACATAGTCATGGAGGAGCAGTCACACTCATCACAGTCACACTCATCCTGGGTTTCAGTGGTGGCTAAATGGGATATTTTCTCGCCAAGGGTTATGAATAGTTTTAGCTATAATTTAGGATTTATAAACTATATTTTTAATATCATTCTTAATAGAAATTAATAAGTATTTATTCTTTATATAATAACCTTACCTATGGAATTACATTTCTGATATATGATGTATACTTAATAATAAGAGAAGGCAATTACATCCCGTTGACAAGTGTCATGTCAGCCCATTAGCATTGGCATCTCCTCTCGGAAGCTACACGTCCTTAGCCTCCATTTACTATCCCATTTCTGCCTGTTCCAGCCGTCGACGTGACGCGCTTCATCACTCATTCACTCGCTCGCTTGCCAACAAGCTCCCTAGTTACCCACTTATTCAGTGCTCACTCCACTTGGCCATTCCACCTCAACGCGGAGGACTGCTGGCGCCCCGGCTCATTGCGAACCCATGCACTTGTGTCTCCCTGTCCAGGAGTGGAGTTACAGGGCAATGAAAAGGGGACTCTTAATAGAGGTATTAGGTCCTATTAAGGTGGGCTTTAACAATTGAGAATTTAAACTAAATAAAGCCTAGAAAACTATGTTTAATTAAGTATATGAAAAGTCCTTAGACTATCAGAAAAGATTGGGTGAAATTAGATTTTTCTTAATATGAATTTTCCCTGAATGATTCTTTATGAAAGCCTCTTCGAAGAAGAAATGTATTTTCTCCTTAATTCTGAAAAACTACCCAAAACCCCCCTGAATCCGCTCCTGTTCCACATGTATTTACACTGTAATTATTATGCAAAATGCAATTGACTCCATTATTTACGATATTGTTAAAGTTCGTGAGCAGAGTGCTAAATGGGTTGAACTTTCAATATATTTGCATGGCTAATATTCTAAATATAAATTAATGTATACATTTCTATGTGTATTTTTGTAATCCACCAACACACAATATATATAAATGAGTTTGTGTTCGTGCGGTCGCTAATTGCCTTTGCCAGAAAGTTAATTACGACAAAATTTGAAATTTTCAAAATTGGACTTGTCAAAAACATTTTGACATTTCCCCTCAGACACCCGGACACCCGCCAGCGGCAGCGGCAGGAAATTAGTTTTACAAACTTTTGCGTTTTGTGCATTTCGCACTGACTTCTAAAACCAAAAAGTTGGCTTCGACACAATGCTCATTATGCGGCATAATAATGCCGACTATTAGCCCTCGAAAATATCAAACAAAAACTGTATATAAATAAATGAGGAAATGCCAAATGCCAAATGCCATTCATCAAATGGAAATGATAGAGTGTCGAGTGTCCATTTGCATTACTTGCAAACATTTTGCCAATTGCCAGGCCTAATTAAGTGCCATGGATGCGTGTTAATGAGCCAGTGTCCCGTGTCGAGTGTTGCTAAAAAATTGCATTAAAATTGCAAGCAAAAATAATTGTGAAATAAGCTGGAGAGGAAATGTCATCGTTTTGTGAAATTTGATTTGATTCATGGCCTCGTTTTGAGTGGGAAATTAAAATGTTTGTTTTTGTGGTTTTGTTGATGAAAAGTAAATAGAATCATGGAATTTTGTGAATTTCCAAAAGGCAGTAAAAGTTGTAAGATGCGTAACGGCTATGAATCTTGTATTAAAAGGTCTTTGTCTCACCTTTCTTCAACATTTTAAGTCAGCGGAATTTCCATTGCAAAAAAAAAGCGAGACTAGCTCCCTGGCTCATTATGGCGAAACTACAAGAAAATGCGCTGCTCTGGATAAACTTTGCAAGCCGGATTCCTCCTCATTACTCATTAGACATGCACGCCGGGGCCAAAAAGTCTTTGATTTAACACCTAAAGGTGAAGCCTGAGCTTGCAACAAAGGCCTCATTAATTAGGAATGTTAAGATGATGAAAACTAATCTGCTAAAAGCACACTCTCTCGCTGCATTCCCATCTGCATCCTTTTGGGGTGAGTCATTTGTCTGCCAGGCTCAACGGAAGGAAGGAGGATGGATTCGGAGGCGTCATTGTTTGGCACCGGTTCACATGCGCTTAATGCACTTGGAAGCCATGGCTTCACCTTCGACAATGTTGCTGGATAAGCGCACAGACGCTGGCAAAACACTGGCAACAAGGCAACAAACTAACCCAGGACCCAGGTCCCAGCGAAAGCAAAGGATACGACCGACCATGAGGACGTCAAGCTGAAATCTGTGCAAATCACAAAATTGGAAAAATCGAGGAGCAACACTCAGGGCGGAGGAGGAGGAGCTACATGCCAAGCGAAGTAGAAGCCGGAATCAGAATCGAGTCCTCCATTAGAGTTGGCCATAAAATAAGCAACTTGTATCGGTATCGGCTGCACCACCGCCACTGGCCTCAAATCGCTTTCCTCAGATTTTGTACGGGGAGAAAATGTGGGTTTTTGTATTCTAAATTTGTGAAATTTATATTTGTCTCTAAGAAATATTGAAAAATATGGTAATTTTATGTTAAGAATATTTTTGTTAAATTTTAGCCTCAGGGTTATTAAGGTTTTAAAGCTATTTACATTCTGCAGAATGTGAAAATTCCATTTTCACTGGAAATATAAATTAGTACTTTATGCTAGAAATTCTAAAACCTTTAAGGCATATGACAATATTTGTACATTCTTTTTATTAGCTTAAAATAACCTTATTTTTCGCTCAGTGCACTCGTAAGCTCATGATGCCCCAATGCATGACGCTTGGCTGAGTGCAAATTCAATTAACTTGTTACAACACAAGCTCCAGGATCAGCTTTGGCATCAGCATCTGCCCAGACGGGATTGGGATTTGTATCTGCCGCTGCTGCTGCTCCTCCTGAGCCTGTGCCCAGATACTCAACTGTACTTTTACTGCACTTTGGTCCAGGGTCGCTAGTCCACGTCCCTCGCCAAACTTTTGTTGATTCTATTTCGAATTTTAATTCCAATCAAATTGCCTCTTGCGGTGCGCGCTCAAACAAACATTTATTTGATTTTCGAGCCCCCTAATGGAAAATGCATTTTTCCCTATTCAATTAATAAAAGATTCCCTCGAATCCGATTCCGATACCTTGATAGCAAAGATGCATAACCAATTGACATTTACATTGGCCCAGAAGCACGACGACGACAAATAGAGATGGAAACTCGGAGGCGAAAGTCATGAATTTCTTAGCAGTTCTTGAATGGAAATTAATAAACAAATGTCAATTACTCAATGGATTAGCACAAACCGGAGGAGCAGAGTAAATAGAAGCTGGGAAAACACGGGATCTCAGCCAAGAACATGTTTGTTTTGTGTGAGAGGAAAATCAGGGAAAGCTTAGACAGTCATTTGAATGTGGATTATTCAGTTGATAGCTCTGAATATTTAAAAAAACTGAAGAGAAAACAAGTAAATGCACTCAATATGCAAGACTTTTGTGAATTTTTTCGATTAAACCGATTCAACTTTTTCTTTAAATTACATTTTCTGACAACAGAAGCCGCCGGGTAAACAATATTCCTGGTAAAAATATGTATTTCGCCTTCGTGGTCCATAATTTATGGCCTGCCCCAATGCCCGTTTCCATTATGAATTCATTAGCACCTGAGGGCTACGCAAAACGCCCGAAAAAAGGGAAATTTAAAAACAGAAGTCAGTTGACGTTTCCACCAACACACCAAAAAAGGCGCAAAAAAGCCGAGAAAAAAGGTCTCAAAAGCACAAACAGCACAAAGTTCAGCGGGGTTTTTCAGCCAATGTCAATAGGTTGAGAATTAAGGCCAGAAAACGCCAAGGGAAAGTAAGTGAGAAAAAATAAAACAAAGTCCGCTGAACTTGCTACTTTTCAAGACGACCTTAAGGCCAGCTTGATCCTGGGAATTTCCTTTAAATAAACACTTATTTGCATATCAGAAGCTACTCCAACAGAGTGGCTCAGAATGTCCGAAACTGAGACTGATTTGCTGCACAAATGATGCGCTCCGTGTGGGACGTGCTCCGCCGTTTTCGATGGCCGCCGCCGCCACTTTGGCTCAAACCGATGCACGTTCTCCTCCAAGCTCTGGCAGTCCCAACTGGCTGGATGCATTCGCAATTAGATGGAGAGCTGGGAGAGTGCGGTCTCTCAAGGATTTGCCGAGATTTTGCGGCGCTAAACAGCTAAATGGCCGTGACAGCTG